ATATAAAACTAGTGATTGAACTAATGCTGTTGTTGTGCTGCAGCCCACCCAACCCTCTGTCCACACCTCCAGCAGGTCTGACCCAGGTGTGGGCAGACCGGACCCGCTTGCTGAGGTTCTGCCACGACACAAAGAACATGACCCTGAGCGTACGACAGAACCTGAGGTGGAGCTCAGAAGAAAGTCGGCACGCTGACATCCTCCTTCTCAGAGAGCGTCTCAGGGACGAGGGCCTTCTCAATGTGGTGATGGCGCTGTTGTCACAATACTGTGTTTCTACTAAAGTCTAAATGAAAACAAAAAAATAATCTTAAATGGAAATGTCATATTGTAGTTCTAAATTCACCAATCAGCAGTCTGGTTTTGTTATTGTATTCAATGCACTGACAAGAAGTGAGGGTTGGCAGCCAACGCCTGTCTCTCTGTGGTGTTTCTCCCTCAGATCAAAGCTCTGAAGAGGGAACGATGGGAGACTGTTGTGGGAAAGGAAGAACCGGTGGACAATCCTTCAGAGAACGGTACCATCCACTAACTAATCTTCCTGCTCTGTGGGATCTAGGAGACCTGGTTAAACTAAGACACTCAGCCTTAACCCCATCCCTTTCATGTTACAGTGGCCCTGCAAGCCTTTGCTCTGCTGTTTTTTTGTTAGATATTGTCAGAGTACAAGAGTATATGACCATGACTGCCCTCCCCTGGGGACTAAAGAGTACTGCAGGACAGGGGTAAAAATAAAAATCAGAACAGCAAGTCAGTTCATCCAAATCCCAGCTGTGGAACAACAGCGCCCTCTGGAGTCAAATTTGGTTATTTATTCTGCTTCTGTCTCTATTACAAATCAAATTGGTTCAAGAAGAACCAAACCTGGAAAAGTGGAACTTTTGTCAGTACACGTTTTAATCAACAGTACCATCAACATGTGTTTGATGTAATTAAAAAGACAGTATTTCTTCAAACTCTTTCTTCGTCCCTTTTTACCTTTATAAACTAAATATGAAGTTAATAGTTAAGAGTTGCTTTTAGATCACTAAACTAGAACAACATTGATGAGTCTACACTACACTAATACGGCTTCTATTCCACCCTGCTTGTAGTATTGTAGTGTACCTCAAAAAATCAAATTGTTACCCTTGTGTAATGATAGCTGCAGTATCTCCAGATTCTTGCCAATCCTTACACTTTATTTTGATGTGTATTTTACATGGTAATAAAAGCATAGTAGTGAAGATAAAGTCACAGTAAACTGACTCTTCAATGTTCATATTTGTTCTTTCTTCCAGCACTGTATGCAGACAGGAACGGTGGAACCCATGTTGCAGAAGAACATGTATGTAGTTCACACAGATTCTCTCATAGAATAAAACAGGAATATGATATATTTTTTCTTTTCAAAATAAACATCAGTTTTTTAAATTAAATTCTAAAATATTAATTCACTTTCATATTTCAGACATATATTCATTTTTATTTTTCATTTGCTCCTCAATGCCCCACATTGTTTTCACTCTTATTGTCAAGGTGTTGGAGTTAACACCATGCACACACACCCCTGAAGGACTGACTGTGTATGGTCAAGTGTGTGTTCGTTGTTTTCAGAGGTGTGGCATGTGTGTGTGTGTGTGTGTGTGTGTGTGCACATGACTGTGGTTCTCCAGTAGGACCTGTTTTATGTGATACAGATGGTAACCTAATTCATTTTGTTGTCACACACCTATGCACTTTCCAAACACTGGCATTTTGACTCAGTTGAAGTCGGAGTTTTATTCCATGCTTTTGCCTAAAACGTTCTCTGTTTCTTCACTCAGGACGCAGAGGAACCGCTGATGTTCGGTCTTAACGAGAAGACCGCAGAGGACGATCAGTTACAGTCGGACTCTGGTAAAGACTTTTTTTTTTTCCCCAAACAAAAACCTCTAAAGACCTTCTTTCCAGTGAGGCCGCCGTCTGTTTTTAGACACACACGCTTGTTGTCAAACCTGCAGTACTGCAGCTGTGAACCGTCTCTCGTGTCGACTTGAACCCATCATTGTTTTGTTAGGTGTTGTTAAAGTCGTGGGGAATTATCCAAGGAGCTCTCGATCAGGAAGGAAACATTTTGTTTCCTGAAGAGAACTTGAATCTCACTTCCAGTCTCACTCGCCTGTGGCCGTCCACTGTGTTCAGGATTGCATTTCAGCGTCCAGGCTTCTCATGGGTCCCTTCATCTGGGATTTTCGTCACAGTGTGGCTCCTCTTACATGGCAACAAACTGTGTTCGAGGAGGATAATATTGTGGCTTGAGTCTCTGTCGTTTGTCGTTGCCAGAACACAGGCAGAGTTGGCATCACACGGTACTAGGACTGTTACATGTCACACGTCTGACGGTGGCGTTCTGCCTTCTAGAAATACACAACAGCGTGACATAACGTCAGAAAGATGAGGGGTCTTCTTGACAGGGGTAAAGAGGGATCTCTGTGCAGCTGATATAATAATCCTGCATCATGTTATTCCTGCCAGTCTGACAGCGAAACAAGAATAGGGAGCAGCCCTAACTAGGTGGTGAAGGTGGCTTCACTCTAATCTGCCTCTGGATGGGAAGAGGAAGGATTTGGGAATGGGAACATCCTGTGGGTTAATAATTGGCTGAGGAGCAGACTGATGCCTCAGTGTAAGAATGTTGTGGTTACCAGCTGAGGCTTCAGGCTTTATAACACTTGGCACTGGACATCTGCAATCTTAACTTCCTGTGGCTGGTGTTGTTTTCCATGCTATATTTCCATGTGTATGCTTGCTGCACGAGTGTGTGTGTGTGTTGGACTGTGTGTCATTTGTCCACCGATGACCTTGTTCGAACCCCTGAAAGACCATTTGTGGTTCAGACGAATCAACATCAGTCACTTGAAATCTGTTTTCTTCATGTTAGCCTTTAAGTGTCTTTCTGAAGTGATCGAAAAAAGAAAAAAAAAAAAAGCCACAGAATGACTCAGGTTTTATACATGTGTTTTACAGTGAATATTTGAAACTCTCTCCTTTAAGGCCTCTTAAAGGGACATTTTCTATAACTAGGAAATCAAGCAGATCCTGTGTCTGCGCTCTTTTTTTTTTCTTTTCGTTCAGCGTGGATGTTTTCTTGCACAAATGCGTCATCAAACACACAGACAAAACCTCCACAGCCAAAACTTCA